GATGTCTCTCACTTTGTCTTCAGATACTCTGGTGTCTCAACAATGTCCTGTGTGTCTCCACAGAGCTTCTGACTGATGATGTCATTGTGGCGATCAAATGTGCCAAAAGAGTGGTCCAGGATCCAAACGGGATCGGAGCCTGGTGAGACCTGATCACATGATTGACAGTGTTCACATCCCGTGTTGACAGATGAGTGATGTCCCTCTGTGTGGTTTCAGGGTGGCGTGGCGTCAGCACTGTCAGGGCCAGGACCTGTCGTCCTATCTGGCAGGATGTGGTCTGTAAAAGCAACATCTGAAACATCTCCAGTGATTCTGAAGCTCCAGACAGTTTCTTCTTCAATCAAGTGAATTATAATCTTTTAAAAGTCTTAACTTCATTCAACTGAACTGAGTTCAACCTGTTCCTGCTTATTAAAATCTGAATAAATAGCTGATTCCTCTGTCAACGTCAAGAGTCTCTGGACTGAACCACGTTGGTTTCTGGACCCAGACCAGCTCCTTTTATTCATTTCTTATAAAATCACCTTTGTTTCCCAGTAAGAATCAGTGGAAACTGTTTGATGGAACCATTGAAACGTGAGCAGGACACAAACACACACTCACAACTACACACATCTGTGCAGGTATAAACCCACAGTGTTCTTGTAAAGGTGGGAGGTTCATATAACAGATAATGATGTTCACATGAGCTCACTCATTTACGCTGGAAGGAGAAACTCCGTTGACACATTCAGCCCCAGTGGAGATTATCAGGAGACACACAGAGTCCAACATCTGGAGCAAACAACAAGATGATTTAACCAGCGAGTCTCAACAGGACAGTTTCATGTGAGGCTGAGGAAAAGTCAGAGTCAATACAAGGTTCATCCTCTGGGGACCTTTCACAACAATGTGGAGAGATGTTGAATGAACAATAAAATAAACCACATGGTCAAAAGTATGTGGACACAGAACATAACGTCACCTGTTGGTCTGTGAGCTGCTGCTCTGAAGCCTTACTTTGATATTTTGTTCAGCGCCATCTTGGTTTTTAAAACAAAAGTTACCTAAGTTACTAGGGGGAGCGGGGGGGGGGCTGACAGAGGGACAGAAAAATTCAACTAATAGTTCTCACCTCCTTCTTTTGGCCCTTTCATCAAAGCTCCGCAAATAAGACACAAAAAACACATGGTCAGACGGTAGCATCATCACTACCATCTGACATCAGGGCTGCGTTGAGCTCAGTGTTCAGAGGAAACAAGTCGTTCAATCAGGACGAGCTGCGAGACACAACGTTTTATTGGACTTGAGGAGGATTAAAAAACAAATGAATGGTGTGAAGCGATGGTTCTGACGTAAACATCATGATGGTCAATGCACCGACACACACAGCAAACACTTCAGTCCCACTATGTGTCAGACAGCTTCATTTAAATGATGTGTTCAGGGACCATGACGATGTCACGATGACTAAAAAGATGATTCAGGTTCCCTGGAGTCGTGCTCTTAGCTCTGACCCTAAATATCAGTACTGATCATTGCAGAATCTGTGAAAACTGACTGAAGCAATATTCGTGTGAAAAGATGATTTTAATGTCTAATGCCGAGTTTTCTGCCTAAAGTGTGAGAATAAATACATCAGATTCTATCATGAATCATCACAGCAATCTTCAGCCGAACGTCATAAAATAAATCACATCTTTACACTGAGAGCAGAATTATTAGAGCGTGTGCTGCATGATTCACATGATCGTACCGCCTTTCCTCACAGGTTCAAACCCACAGACTTCTTCTCTAACACTCGACAGTCGGTTGATTTCTGTATCAGCAGATTTTAAAAAGGTTCTGACACACGAGTGTGAATATAACTGTTTATTTCCTCCAGTCAAAGAAATGTACACGTACTGAAAGTTCAGGTATAAAATCTGTTTTAAATAATCTGTTGTTCTATTTTCAATTTAATCATTTAATCAAAACCCCTGAAGACGATAATATGACACCACAAACAATATGAAATTTAAAGAGTTAGCAAAAGCTGTCCAGCAGTTTGCATCCTGACTTTCTTTGGGTTCGATAAGAGCGTCACGTCTGTTTTTCTTTTTTATTATTAATATTTTCAATCTGCATTAAATAAAAAGAAAAGACAGCGTTGACCTTGATAAGAGTTGAGATAAGAAGCCACAGAGGATTAAAAGCTTTGAGCCGAAGAAGATCTTCTCTTATTGCTGCTTGTTCCTGTTGTCGTACTTTAGTCGTTGCTGGTGCTTCCTGTTGTTGCTCTAGAAAAATCACTTTAGTCTCCAGAAGCCGACAGACGTGTTCAGTGTGACATCATCACAAGCTTTCTTTCAAACGAAGCTGAAGCAGTCAGGTTTAAGTTTAGGTTTGTCATCTGGGTTAAGATAAAGATGATGATAAACCTGAGGCTGGTGAACAGAGGAACTCTGTGGAGAGAGAGACAGAGATCAACAATTCTGTGTTTGTACTCTGACGTGTTCCAGATATTTTACAGTCAAAAGTTCCAGAAAATGTACGATTGTGTTCTCACATACAGAACCTGCTGAACATTTCAGGAACAGAAAGTGGTTCCGTTCATGTCAGAAAATAAATAAGGTCAGTATAAAAGTACCTGTGTGTTAATGAGCCCTCTGATATACTGTGATATCTTCTACTAACAAATAAAAAGTGGCTGTAGGAGTGAGGCTCCTGCGGCTCTAAACGAGCTCGTTAAACAAGCTCGTTAAACTCATCGTAATAAAAAGACTTCATACAGAAAACACTGCAGCTCAAACCTTCACCTGCTGAACAACAAACATCAGACTCTGGTCAAAAAACGTCTCATTAACGTGGAGAGCCTCCGTCAGATTATTAGCTTCTCCATTAACCCTTCTAAACCTCCTGCTGCATTAACGAGCGGGGCGGGGCCAATCAGGGCGGCTCGTCGGCCCACGCCTTTTTGTCTGAACAGGAAACAGGTTAATTATGCAGATGACACGAGAGCGTTCACGCTGAGGGAGATTAAATATTTCCACATCCTCCTTCTCTCTGTGTCACACTGACGCCAACGTTTACAACAAAACGCTGCCGTGATGAAAACATCAGAATTCACTGAGGGGGTTGTTTCTCCAGGTTAATCCTTCATTTCACCATTTTCATCTTAAAAACTTTGAATAATTACAACTCATGGTTTCCTTTGAATGCATCACTGTGCCATTTTGATACCCTCCATTTCCTTTTCTATTTGAAATATTCATGATGTTATTTGAATATTTAGTATTTTGACCAATCATCGTTTTTAAAATCCCTCATTTTAAATTCTTCCATGTTTACATTTTGAATCCCTTATTTATGACAATCGTACTTTAGGGATTCAGAAAGGATCCTTCATTTGGATTCCTTTCCTTCAAATTGCCCCATTGTTAATCCTTCATTGTCCTCTGTGCCATTGTGAGTCCCTCAGTGTGGCAGAGGGAGAACACTGTGTCACTGGTTTTGTTTTTTATCGTTTGAGTGAGAATCTGAATGTTTTATTGTTTCCATGTGTCCAATGTGTTAATCAGTCTTAATTCCCCCTAATCATAACAACACACACACGCACGCACGCACGCACACGCCTGTGTGTTGGGATCAGTGTAAAGTTTCAACTCCGATTTAAAGGAACAGTACCACATATGACAACATTTAAGCTGTCTTCAGACCTGAACTGACCCACAGTCATGTTCCTGACGTATTACTCACATGTTCCTCACATGTTCTGTATGTGAGAACAAATGTTTGAGTCAGTGTCTCTGGACTTGTTCTGGATCTTCTCCTGCAGCCTCTAGTAAAACATCTGTAACATGTCAGAGTGAGTCCATGAGAGAAAACTTCTGGAACCTTCTCAGTGAGCGAGTGGGCGTGTCTCTGAGGTTTCTAACACGTGACGGACGTGAAACTGAAGAACACAAATGTCTCAGGATGAAGAAGAGGAGCCGTACACGTAGAAGACGAAGACGTCCACTTGTAAAGACGAGGAGGTTCCAGATGTTTTGGTCATAAGGGCCGACGCCAGTGTGGACTGTGGTGATTTCACTGACTCGTTAGATGTTGTGTATTTTAATTTGCTGAGGTTGTCCTGGACGACAGAAGGAAACAGCTCCTCACATCATTGAACATTTCTTAACTGCAGCAGCACATCTCAGACAGAAAAAGTTCCTAAATTTAGAACAGAGCTGGAGGTAAAAAGGTCTTTAAATGTTTGAAACTCTTTGGTGCAGGATCTGAATATTAATCCACGGATACTTTGGCTAATTTTAAAAGATGCACTATATGGACAAAAGCATTGGGACACCTCATCAAACTCAGGTATTTCATTCAGTCCCATTGGTTGGACCCTGAGTTCCAGTGAAGTTAAATGTTAATGCTTCAGTTGACCAGGACATTCCCACAAACACACAGTTCTATGGTTCTATTCTCTGGTTTCACCTTTGTTTGGAACCAGTGTTGTGTTCCAGGACTCTGCTCTGGTCCATAAAGGCTCGGCCGGGTGAGTTTGGTGTTGAAGAACTGAACTGGCTCCACAGAGCTCTGACCGCAACCCCATCACTGAACTAGAACATAGAGTCTGAGCCCTCTGGTCCAGCATCAGTGTCTGACCTCACAAATATCATCTGGATGAAGGAGCAGAAACTCACACGGACACAATCCAGAGTCGTGTAGAAGAGTGAAGCTGCTACAGCTCATATTAATGCCTTTGGATTTAGAATAAGTCATAAAAGCTCCTCAAGGTGTAATGTGTAGGTGACACAATACCTTGTCTATATAGTGTATTTGATCCTGGGCCGTCGACAATGAATGTTTCTAATGTTGTCATGAGGTTTGTTCTTGTGTTTCACAAGTTAAACGTTTGTTTGTCGACATGTTGTTGAATTGTCCTGTGCACATCCTGCGTCCATCCGTATGAATAAAGGTTGATTGAATGAATGAGGGTCATTACAGGTTGAAGTGATCCACAAATCATTGCATATTATAGATTATAAAGCAAAGCACAGTAGAGTCAAGTGAATGACGAGATGTTTAAATCCATATAAACGCTGCTTAGTCTAAAGTTCTGGTTTTTCATATAATCTTAATTTTGATTTCATTTTTTTTTTTAAATCTATCCTGTTCCTCTTTTCCTGAGGAGGAAGAGTTGTAAAATGTCTCAGCACCATGAATGTAGTTGAAGATGGACAACATGGCGGTTCCCTAAGGTGACGACAAAGATCATGGATCCCCATCACTACTGCACAGACTGTAACTGACGTCACCACAAGAGGGCGGCGTTCGTATCTGAGATACTTTAGCTTCATTTCATCGTCGATCTGTATTTACACTTGATGTTCAGTATCATCACTATTTCAAAAAATGTTTGACTATGTTTTGTGTTCATGTAGCAAATTTATATTTTCCTGATTTTACTAATTAACAGCAAAATTCACAAAGTACAGCAC